CTCATCAAGGCGACAACGTAAACTAGCTAGCCTCATCTAGAAGCATCCGAGAAAAACCGTCTTCGAGAAAATGGCGTGCATGGGCAGGGGCGATGTCCAACAGCCGTTGCCCTCCCACCGCGGTCTTAGGTAAAGATATCTGCCCCATATTGCGAAGACGTCCGACTTTCCGTCCGGCCGACTCGTCGTAGACACTGCGGCCGTGCAGCAGCTCAGAAAAGGCCGCTCGCGGGGAAGGGATCGCGGTCTCCATCGGCGGCATGCGCTCAGCCACGCATTCCAGGGTCCGCGCGTGCACCTTCATCTGGTCAAAATTCGGCCTGTCGCATGTGGAGGTGCGGTTCATCAACCAATTCAAGGCGTCGACGACCTCGTCGAAGTCCTGGCAGGCTCGCCTGGCGAGCTGAGCAGCCCCACGGCCCTGGAGCTGCGGCCGGTCCCCCTCATGGTCGCTCAGCCTCGGCATGGGGGGACACCGACAGCAGGTCCACCCCGACTTCGCGACTGGGCTGTGCGCAACCGGCGGGACGCCCAAACCCGCCGGCGGGAGCAGTCATGCCCCCTCGGGCGCGGTGGGCCTCCCACCGCGCCCAGCCGCCCCACGCCCGCCGCCGTTTCCTGGAGCGCCGCGGCCGCGCCCGTCTGCGCCGCGGCCCCGGCCGTCGCCGCGGCCCCGCCCGCGCCCGTCGGCGCCGCCAGAGGGCCCACTCGACAGCCCCTCGCCGGCCTCCAGCGCCAGGGGGCGGGGCGCAGGGGGCCCGGCAGCCCGGCTCTTCCAGCTCTCCCGCTCCATCTCCTCCTTGTTGCGGCGGAAGAATGCGGTCCTCAAGGCTGGGTCCATCATGTCCATCGGGCCTGCCACGCCCATGTAGTGCCGCAGCCCGTCCCACATCGGGGGCTTGAGGGGGGCGCCCGAGTGGGCCTCGACGATCTGCGACACACGAAGACACAACACTTCAATGCTGGCCATGCTGGGTAGGTTGACCTGGTAGTAGCTTCCCGCGTAGAAGATCGAAGTGAGCAGGCACTTCATCTCGATGTAGCTGCGGTCCGTCTGGCTCAGCTGGCGGCCCCGCGCCCGCAGGTCCAACCGGAGCAGAGGGGGGCCGCAGCTCTGCTCCCAGCGCTTCGCCGTGTGCTCCACCGTGCTGAGGCCGCCCTCAAGCGGCAAGTCCTCGAACGTGTACTTCTTGGTCTCGCGGGCGACCTCGCGCCACGGCCTGTGGCGGTCTCCCTGCTCGTCGTGCTGAACCCACAGAGTCCTCGCGTCATCGACCGAAGCCGCCTCGCGCGCAGCCCCCGGGGGGGCGCCCCCAGCCTGCCTCTCAGGTCCTGATCGCCAGCGCTGGGGCCGGCGGCCTCGGCAGCTCCGCGCGCGGGGTCGGCCTCGCCGCCAGGTGGCAAGGCCGGCGGCGGCAGCGGCGGCCCCCCCGCGCGGGCGTCGGCGGGCGGGTCCCTCTCCACCAGCCCGAGCAGCTCCCTCGGGCGCCTGTCTCTGAAGGTGTCCGCCGCGTCGACGGGGATTGCCTCCACGAGCTGCCAAACGCCGACCTCCCTCACCATTGCGTGGTCGTCGTCCAGCCTGACACCGCCAGACTCCAGCGCCACCTCGGTTCCCAGACGAAGATGGATCTCCTCGGGATCAACCAGCGGCTCGTCACCAACGTGCACCTGCGGATCAGTCCTCGACCTGAGCACGGCGGCGCGCAGCTCCTCCCAGGTCAGCGGCTGCGCGAACCGGTAGGACGCGCCATGGGCCAAGGCGGGCGCCGTGCCATCCAGCGCGACGGTGAAGGCCCTGTTGCAGCCGTCGCCGACCGCACCCGACACGTCCTCGGCGCACCGGTCGCCGCCCGGCGTCAGCACCCACCAGTACATGCACCCCGCGAGGTGGAGCAGCACTCGCTCATGCCACACCGTGTCGCGTGGGTACCAGAGCCCGACTCGGCGCCCTGGCCGGGGCTCACTGCACCACGCCCCCACCACGACGAACGTGCCGTCCGCGGCCAAGGTCGTCGGGCCGCGGCGGCGGCGGGGGAGTGGGGCGATGATTCCGACGGGCTCGGGCCGCCACGCAGCAGCGCACCAAGATCACCGCCTCCCCGCAGGCGACCCCCCACGCCAAGATGAAGGCGAAGGGACAGCCCTCGCCCACGGCTGGGCCTGCCTCGGGCGCGGACGGCGCCGCACGGGCCCCCTCAGGCCCCAGGGGCGGCAGCCGCTCCAGCAGCGCCGCGGCCACCTCGTCGGCCGAGGGGCAGGTGGCTGGCGCCGGCGAGGAGTTCGCCGCCAGCCAGGGCCCGAGCTTCTGCGCCACGGCCGCGGCCACCGCGCCGGCGCTTGGCGCTGGCGGCGGAGGCGGCGCCGACGGCGCGGGCGGGGGCCACTGCGGCGCGTGGCACACGCAGGACGGGCAGCTGGTCGAGGCGGCAACCAGCGCCGCCAGCCAGCTCGTTGCCCAGCGCAGCCCGGCCCAGGCAGCGGGCGCCCCCACCGCGGCGCTCACCGCGAGCGTGGCGGCGCCGCCCGGGGCCATGGCCCAGCCCCACTCATGCACTTGAGAAAGATCAAAAGCCATGGAGCGACCCAGACAATCACGTGCAAGCGCTCCTATGAAAAACTCATGGGGGATTAATGATTTTGGCCTTTTCGGGCCTTCCTGGAGGCCCTCTTGGAGGCCTCTTGGGCAATCTCAGGGCCATCTTAGTGCCATCTTCGGCCGTCTTGGTGGGCCCCTGGCCCGTCCGACGCCGTCGGAAGCCGTTTGGGGGGGCTCTCTGAGCCGACTTGGGGCCCTCTTGGAATGCTCCAGGGCCGTCTTGGAGGCTATCTTGGGCGTCTTAGAACCCTCCTGGGCCGTCTTGGGGGCCTCTTGGAGCGTTCTGGGCCCATCTTGGAGGCCTCTTGGGCGATCTTTGGGCGATCTTTGGGGGCTCTTGGGCTGTATCGGGCCGACGAAGGCCGAAACGAAGCAAATGACAAAGTCCTTCAAACACCTATGGAACATTAGTGTCTTTGGCCTTTTTCTGGCCTTCCTGGAGGCCCTCGTGGAGGCCTCTTGGGCCGTCTTGGGCCAGCTTCGAACCAATTTTGGCTATCTTGGTGGGCTCCTGGCCCGTCTGACGCCGTCGGAAGCCGCTTGGGTGGCCTTTCTGGGCCGATTTGGGGCCCTGTTGTGGTGCTCCAAGGCCGTCTTAAATGCCATCTTGGGCGTATTGGAAGCCTCTTGGGTCGTCTTTGTGCCTTCTTGGGGCCGTCTTGGGGGCCTCTTGGGCAGTCCTGAGGCCATCTTGGAGGCCTCTTGGGCGCTGTGGGGGCGATCTTGGGGGCATCTTGGGACGCCCGCCGAAGCCCCAATGTTGACTCCGAGGTGTCCCAAAAGAGCCCCAAGAGCAAGAGGGGCCCGAGAGGGCTGCCAGACGGCCGCCAAAGCGCCCAAGCGAGCTCCAGGGGCACCCCTAAGAGGGCGCCAGGGGGCGATTTGAGAGGCTCCACTTGGGCAGTCCTGGTAGCTCCCCCCCTTTTTGACCGATATCCTCCAAGATGGCCCCCACACCGCCTCCTAGGCGCCCCTCTTCCCCCCCAAAAAAACAAACCCAAAACGCCCCCAAGACGCCCCCACGAGGTTCCCAAAAGGACCTCAAGAGGAGTCCCCCAAGACATCCCAAGAGGCCTTCAAGAGCCGCCCCCCAGGAGACATCCCAATCGAGTCCGCGAGGCATCAAAGAGGCCTCTGTTTCACTGAGGCTCCCCGAAATATGAAAATAACGTGTCGCTCCCGCGAGAAGCGGAACTTCCCTGGACATCGTTCCTGGATGGGCTGGTGCGAATCTCCTCTAAGGTTTGAAGGTATGGCCATGAACAACGGAGGAACACGCAAACGAAAACCCTACTTTGAAAAACAAACCTACCATACGTGCAGCTGCTACACAACTTCAAATATCGGATCAACGGGGTTAGCATAGTGTTATGTTGTAAAACGACCACCCGCAATCCGTGTAGCTGATGATGTTTGGCATGAACGTGCTCGGCGCGAAGCCGATAACCACATGTTTAAAACGACCCCGTTTCCGCGGCGCTAGAGTGCCACATGTTGACAACGACATGTGCTTCATCCGTATAACTGCTGGAACAGATCAAATCGAGTGTTCGTGGCGCTACAGCGAGAGTCACATACTAAAAACACGTCCTGTGTTCTATCCGTGTAAATGTTGCCTCGAAAACGGTTGCGCTCGGCTTCCATGCGGAAGCCACATTTTTACAACGATCTGTCCTCCATCGGTTCAGCTGCTGTGTGCTTCTCAGACGAATGCGCGCGGCTTGTAGGCGAGGGCCTCAGTTGGACCACATGTTAGAACGACCTGTGCTCCATGTGTGTGGCTGTTGGATCTGGGGCCCAAAGCGGGGAAACGGTCGGAGGCGAACGCCCAGCTCCCGCCCTGCCGACACGCCTGGTGGTCAGACGAGGCAGGGCCATCCACTGGTTCGCAGGGAGGAGGAGAACGGAGGAGGGGGGAGACGGAGGAGGAAGGGAAGACGAGGAGGAAGGGGAGGAGGGAGGAGGAGGGAGGAGGGAGGATGCGGTGCGAGAGCAAGGGACGAGGAGGGAAGGGGAGGTGAAAGCCAGGTCGGCGAGGGCGCACAGAACCCTCCCGGCAGGGTGGCGGACGCAGCAAGGCGGCCGCGCGTACGGAGATCGGCGGGGCGCCGGCGGGGAAAGGGCGAAGGGGGGGGGCTCGCAGAAGAGGGGCTGCGGCAGAGCGGGCGGGCGGGGCGCAAGCTGGCAGGGAGCGGCCCCCTCTGACAGTCGGGGCGTTGACCAAAGGAACCCTAGATAGGGAACGGGGCCCCCTTTTTTTCCACAAGCTGAACTTCCATTTCCGATCGAGAACACAAGGAAACTCCCAGGCAAGCCGCGAAACACTTGAGGAGCACGGAGCCCCTCCCCAACGAAAAGGGGTTCCTTCTTCAGCGCCTCGACTGTAAAAGGCGCAGCGCCTCTTACAAGGGACCGTCCTCTAGATGCCGTGCGCCTGCCGCGCCCCCCTTGGAAGGCCACCCCCCCTGACCGCGCAGCCCCCCCTCTGCGCGCTGTCAAGCGCGGCGCAGCGCTTCAAACGAGCGCGACGTCTGTCTGCACGGCTGCTGCAGCCGAAGAGATCAGGCCTCGCGCGAGCAGGCCTGCCCGAGGGGGGAGCGCGCGGGGGAGCATCCTTGGGGAAGGGGGGCGATATGGGGGGGGGAGTGCGGGCGGAGGCAGAGGGCGACAATGGCGGGAGGGTGGCAAGGGGTGGAAGGACGGAGGGGGGGGGGGGCGGCGGGGGAGGGGAGGGGAGGGAACGAGGAGGGAGAGAGAGGGGGGGATCCATGTGGAGTGGGTCCTCCCCCTCTTCTGGACCGCCCCCCCCCCCCCCCCCCCCCCCGCGGCCTCCCCCCCCCCTAAATGGCCCTCTGGATGCCTCGCCTGTCAATGCAAAGGGAAGCGAGGACAGGCTGGGCGGTAAGCACTACAGATGGGCTCTCAAAGGCGCGCGAAATGCACCTCCTCCCCCTCCTCCTCCTCCTCCTCCTCTTCCTCCTCCTCCTCCTCCTCGCCCTCCTCGTCCTACTTCTCTCGTCTCCACCCCGCTCCCCTTCTCCTTCTCTCTTTCTCATCCTCCGCCCTCTCAACCATTTCTCCTCCTCCTCCTCCTCCTCCTCGCCCTCCTCATCCTCCCCATCCTCGTCCCTACATGTTCCCGCCGTCCTCCTCGTCCTCCGCACGTGCTCCCCTCCTCCCCTCCTCTGATGGCTCGCTTCTTCCCGCTGGCTGCCATCATTATGTTGGCGCGTTATCTTTCTCTCTCGCTCTCTGCGCTTCCACCCTCAATACTCGAAGCTGAATCGGAAGCTCCTGCAGCCATTCGAATCCATTCAAAAGGATGGGGAGGATGGAGGTGGCGGGGACCGATTGGGGAGGCGGGTCCAGTCGCGGCAACGAGGGGAGCTCAGCCATGGCGAAGGAGGGTCAGCTGGATTTCCGACCATAGATTGGATGAGGAGGGAGTGCGACGGCAGTCCAGACATGGCTATGAGGTATACCTGAAGACATAAGTCAATCAATTCGCGCATAGAGAAGCAGGTCCTAATCCCCCATTCCTCCGCCTCCTCAAACTGTTCTGGCTCCTTCTCGCACGGACCTCGAAAACATATACGGCAAGAGGGCATTAGATAATGAACTCTTGGATCGGGAACCCAAGGTCTGAAACACGGTGGAACGCAAATTGAAGCCTGGGCATGGATCTCACCGCCGCCCTCATCAGATAAGCACTCCTAAAGGGTCTGCGTTCTCTTGGGCACATTCCTTATCCGACTCCCCCAATGCAGACCACTGCTTGGTAGCAAGGCTTGGCGAGCAAAATATTCCGCGCGGACCTTCGAATTATTATGTTTACGTAACTGTTCGTTCCCCTACACATTCCTTGACCGACTCCCCCACTGCAGAACGATGCTTGCTAGCAACGTTTGGCAATCCAAGACGCCCGCGGATCTCAGAGTTTCTATGTTTATGTCATTGTTCGTTCCCCTGCACATTCCTTACCCGACTCGCCCATTGCAGAACACTGCTTGCTAGCAACGTTTGGCGATCTAGTAAATCCGCGACGCCCTTAGAGTTGTTGTGATTGTGTCATTGGTCGTCCCCCTACACATTCCTTAACTGACTCCCCCACTGCAGAACACTGCTTGCTGACAACGTCTGGCGATCCGAGAAATCCGCGCGGACCTCCGAGTTTGATGTTTACATCATTGTTCGTTCCCCTACACATTCCTTATCCGACCCCCCCCCTGCAGAACACTGATTGCTAGCAATGTTTGGCGATCCGAGAAATCCGCACGAACATCAGAGTTTTTATGCTTACCTCATTGTTCGTTCCCCTACACATTCCTTACCCGACCCCCCCCCCACTGCAGAACACTGCTTACCAACAACGTTTGGCGAGCCAAGAAATCCGCGCGGACCGCAGAGTTTTTATGTTTACATCATTGTTCGCCCCCCATACGCATTCCTTAGCCGACACCCCCCAACGCAGAGCACTGCTTGCTAGCAACGTTTGGCGACCCAGGACATCCGCGCGGACCCCCGATGGTGTATGCTTACGTTAGTGTCCGTTCCCCTACACATTCCCTAACCGACCCCCCACTGCAGGACACTGCTTGCCAACAACTTTTGGGGATCCAAAGAATCCCCGCGGACCTCAGAACTTGTGTGTTTATGTCATTGCTCGGTCCCCTATATATTCCTTAACCGACTCCCCCGCTGCAGGACACTGCTTGCTAGCCACGTTTGGCGATCCAAGCAATCCGCGCGGACCTCCGAGCTGTTGTGAGTATGCTATTGTTCGTTCCCTACACATTCCTTGACCGACTCCCCCACAACATGCCGCTTCTTGCTGGCATTGTTTGACGATCCAAGAAGCCCACGCGGACCTCAGGGTTTTGATGTTTACGTCATTGCTCGTGCCCCTACACATTCCTTCACCGACTCCCCCACTGCAGAACACTGCTTGCTAGCAACGTTTGGCGATCCCAGAAATCCGCGCGGACCTCTGAGTCATTATGTTTACGTTATTGTTCGTTCCCCTACACATTCCTTGACCGACTCCCCCACTGCAGAACACTGCTTGCTAACAACGTGTGGCGATCCAAGAAACCCGCGCGGACCTCATAGTTTGTATGTGTACGTCATTGTTGGTTCCCCTGCATATTCCTTAACCGACTCGCCCACGGCAGAACACTGCTTGTTAGCAACGTGTGGCGAGCTAGCACATTCGCGAAGACCTTAGAGTTTGTGTGTGTGTGTGTGCAATTGGTCGATCCCCTACACATTCCTTAACTGACCCCCCCCCCCACTGCAGAACACTGCTTGGTGACAACGTTTGGCGATCCGAGAAATCCGCGCGGACCTCCGAGGTTTGATGTTTACGTCATTGTTCGTTCCCCTACACATTCCTAACCGACTCCCCCACTGCAGAACACTGCTTGCTAACAACCTTTAGCGATGCAAGAACTCCGCGCGGACCTCCGAATTTTGATATTTACATCATTGTTCGTTCCTCTACACATTCCTTATCCGACTCCCCCCCCTGCAGAACACTGCTTGCTAGCAACGTTTGGCGATCCAACACATCCGCACGAACCTCCGAATTTTTATGCTTACCTCATTGTTCGTTCCCCTACACATTCCTTAACCGCCCCCCCCCACTGCAGAACACTGCTTGCCAGCAACGTTTGGCGATCCAAGAAATCCGCGCGGACCTCCGAATTTTGATGTTCACGTCATTGTACGTTCCCCTAAACATACCTTAACCGACTCCCCCACTGCATGCCACTGCTTGCTAACAACTTTTGGCGATCCAGTAAATCCGCGCGGACCTCCGCATTTGTATGTTCACGTCATTGTACGTTCCCCTACACATTCCTTAACCGACTCCCCCACTGCAGAACACTGTTTGCTAGCAACGTTTGGCGCCCCACGACATCCGCGCGGACCTCAGGGTTTTTGTGTTTACGTCAGTGTTCATTCCCCAACGCATTCCCTAACCGATCCCCCACTGCAGAACACTGCTTGCTAGCAACGTTTGGCGATCCAAGGAATCGACGCAGAACTCCGAGCTTCGATGTTTACGTCATTGTTCGTTCCCCTGCACATTCCTTAATCGACTCCCCCACTGCCGAACACTGCTTGCCAGCAACGTTTGGCAATCCAAGAAATCCGCGCGGACCTCCGAGATGTTATGTTTGCGTCACTGTTCGTTCCCCTACACATTCCCTATCCGACTCCCCCGCTGCAGAACACTGCTTGCTGGCAACGTTTGGAGTTCCAAGACATCAGCGCAGACCTCCGAGTTTCGATGTTTACGACATTGTTCGTTCCCCTACACATTCCTTAACCGACTCCCCCACTGCAGAACACTGCTTGCTAGCAGCGTTTGGCGATCCAAAACATTCGCGCGGACCTCCGAGTTATTATGTTTACGGCGTTGCTCGTTACCCTATACATTCCTTAACCGACACCTCCACTGCAGAACACTGCTTGCTAGCAACGTGTGGCGATCAAAGACATCCGCGCGGACCTCCGAGTTTTTATGTTAACGATCTGTTCGTTCCCCTGCACATTTTTTAACCGACTCCCCCACTGCAGAACACTGCTTGCTAGCAACGTTTGGCGATCCAAGAAATCCGCGCGGACCTCCGAGTTGTTATGATTACGTCATTGTCCGTTCCCCTACACATTCCTTAACCGACCCCCCCTTCTTCAACAAACTGTCTGCTAGCAACGTTTGGCGATCCGAGAAATCCGCGCGGACCTCCGAGTTTTGATGCTTACGTCATTGTTCGTTCCCCTACACATTCCCTAACCGACTCCTCCACTGCAAAACACTGCTTGCTAGCAACGTTTGGCGATCCAAGAAATCCGCGCGGACCTCCGAGTTTTTATGTTTATGTCACTGTTCGTTCCCCTACGCATTCCTTAACCGCCTCCCCCACTGCAGAACATTGCTTGCCAGCAACGTTTTGCGATCCAGTAAATCCGCGCGGACCTCCGATTTTTGTTATGTTTACGTCATTGCTCGTTCCCCTACACATTCTTTAACCGACTCCCCCACTGCAGAGCACTGCTTGCTAGCCACGTTTGGCGATCCAAGACATCAGCGCAGACCTCCGAATCTCGATGTTTACGTCATTGTTCGTTTCCCTTCAACCCTCGTCGAAATTAAACGCAAGTTTTTCCACCCCCGTCGCCCCCAAATTTCAATGTTCATCGACAGGCGCATCGCGGCCGGCGGGGTCCGGAGAAAATCTCGGAGTCGCCGGCGTCGGCGTGAACATTGAAAATGGGGGTCGGGGGGCGCCGCCAGGTCGCGGCTAAAACTTGCGTTCAATTTCGACGAGGGATGTAGACATTCCTTAAACCGACTCCCCCACTGCAGAGGGCCAGGGACGTAATGAAATAAGAAGAGGCGCCATGAAATCAGCGGAAAAATTATGGCCCCCGCCATGATATCCACCCCCCCTGGTCATCACCCCCCTCCTTGCCGCCCCCGAAGAACACTGCCGGCAGCGCTTGACGACTGCAGGCGCCTGGGCCGCCCTGCTTCTCGGGTCGGGCGAAAGGGGGGGATAGCAAAGGGGGGCTTTGAGAATCAGCTCACGTGGCTGATTTTCCCGGCGCCTCCCGGCGCAGGAGGCGCCCATGCATCGAGGAATGGGCCCGGCGGCGAGGCCGAAACCAACTGCATGCAGCAGATTTCGTAACCCCGCCTTTCCCAAACCTAAAACGACGCGAAGATCGGGACAAAATCGGATCGGGATGACTCGAAATCTCTGAGAAGCGGCGGGTTTGGAGGACGCATTGGGCGCCGCGGCCGCTCCAGAGCGCTCCGGAACGCTCTGAGAGCGCTCCGGAACGCTCTGGAGCGATTTATCCCGATCCTAGCCCTGTTTTAGGCCCCCTCGGGGGGAGGTTGGCCTCGGCACCGCTCGGACGTGTGCATTTTTCCTCGGCGAGGGCCATCGAGGAGCATCTTTGATTATTCAGCGAGAAAAAAAAAACACGCGCGAGATGGAAAAAAGCACAGGGAGTGGACGTCCGAGCGATGGCGAGTGGCGGGAGGTGCGCTGCCGACCGCTCTGAGAGCGATTTATCCCTGTTTTAACCCCCCCCCCTTTTAAAACCCTGTTTTAAAAACCCCCCCTAGCCCTGTTTTAAAACCCCCCCTTTCGCCCGACCCGAGCTTCGGCCTGCTCGCCGAGCGCTCTTGCGCTTCCGCAGGCGCCGGCCCGCGCAGCAGGTGCCGCGGCCCGCCCTGCCGCGGGGCGCTCCGCCGTGCGCCGCCTCGCCTTCTTCTGCTCCCCTCCCCTCCTCCTCCTCCTACTCCCATCCCTAATCCCTCCTTCTATCCCTCTCCTCCTCCTCCTCCCCCCTCTCCTCCTTCCTCCTCCTCTCCTCTTCCTCCGCCTCCGCCTCCTCCTCCTCCCCCTCCCCCTCCCCCTCCCCCTCCTCCTCCTCCTCCCCCTCCCGGGCGTGGCGCCACGGCAGCATGCGAACTTCTACTGTAGGAGAAGAGAAAACCCCTGGCATCGCTCGGACGTCTATTCCCTGTGCTTTTTTTCGGTTTCGCGCGTGGCCTTTTCGCTAAATGATCAAGGATGCTCCTCGATCGCCCTCGCCGAGAAGAAATGCACACGTCCGAGCGATGCCAAGAGAAGAGAACACCACATAAACACCAACTTTTGGCGCTCCGCGCGAATTTCTTGGATTTGCGCTGGGCCCCCCTCCATGGCGCGCGGAGCGCGCCATGGGGCGGCGCCTGAGGCGCCGCCAGGGGGCCCTAGCGCAGATCCGAGAAATCCGCGCGGAGCGTCGAACGTCTATGCTTATGTGTGTTTTTTTCTTCGATCCTGAGCCTTTTCTCAGGGTGGAGGGCTCAGGGTGAGATCCATATGGGTTCTTGCACCCCGAAAATCAATCCGTCCGGTGATTCACCTCTTGCGGATTCGAGCCTCGAGAATCGATCGAAACGGCACTTCAGGATCTCGCCGTCTGCCCTCCCTCCCCCAAAAAAGCTCGGTTCTCGGAGGGGCGGGGGGGTCCTCGCTGCCCCCGCGCGTCAGCTGCAGAGCCGGTGATCCAGAGCGAAGTGGGAGCACAAGCACACGAATACCTGGGGACAGGTTTAATGGGGCTGACGTCAGCGGTTGATGGGGGTACTATGTGCCTTCACCAGTGGGGGGGGGGAGGCGACGATGAGGCGGACGAGGGGGAGGACGAAGGGGGGAGTGCAGAGGAGGAGAAGGAGGAGGAGGAGGAGGAGGAGGAGGAAGGTGTGGAGGAGTGTATACTTCTCCCCGACCGCTTGCCCCAGATGGAACCAGTCGCAATCACCCACCTGGCTGTCAAGCCGTCAGCGTCTGGTGGGGCGGGGAGTGGGTTCGAACGCAGGACGGACAGGAGGCCGAGTTGGCGAACACCCCCTGGGATTGAGGTGGTGACAGACAAGACGCTCTTTAAGTGGGACGAGCTGGCTCGGCGGGAATCCCAAGCCGCAAGTGCACCGACACCAAAGAAGACATCAGCTGCAGGGGCGACTGGGTGCTGGACATGACCTCCGCACCAGGCGAAGGTTGAGCAGGGACCGACCGTCTCGGCATCCCTATAGTCCTACCACGAAATGTTCTTAGGACCCGAACATATTCCAAGACCAAAAACAATGCTCTTATGACATAAGCCCGATGTGTTAAAATAAGACAGGCCCCGCCAGAAATGTTCTAAGAACATCTCGCGGAAACCACAAAAGGTTCTCAGAGCATTGTTCGGTGGGACTATAAGCGAGCCGGGACGCTTCGCCACTGCTCGAGAAGGGATCCGCACCCCCTGGGGGTCCGCTGAGCCGGCCGGAACTTCTTCACCAACGACAGGGAGCCGCGGTGGGGCTGTCACGACCAAGCGCCAGCGCGGTGCCGCACGCCGCGCAGGGGCCTGGGCCAGAGCCCTGGGCAAGGCGCCTGGCCCCTTTCCGCAGGCCGTGCCCGGTGGTCTGCCATTCCGGCCGCTAGGGCTCCCAACCTCGCGCTTCGCGCTCCGCGAAGCGCGAATAACCTCGCGCTCTCGCGCCGCCCCCCCCCCCCCAAGGGAGAAGAGGAGGACGAGGAGGAGGGGGAGGAGGAATGAGGCCCGCGGAGCGCGAAGCGCGCCCTCGTGGGAGCCCTTGAGCCACTGGCCGTGCCAGGCCGGGTGGAGTGCAGCACCGCTCCGATCGTCGGTGGCGCGCGAGTCGCGCTCCCCGAGGAGCTGCGAGCGGCAGCACGGGGAGGGAGAGCGCGCTGCCCGGCTGCCCAGGCGGCGCCCGCGCGCAGGGGAGCTGCCCGGGGCAGAGAAGAAAGAACAACAAACGCCATAGACATCAACTCTTGGGGCTCCGCGCGGATGTCTTGGGTGCGCGCGGCCGCGAGCGGCGGCGGTCACGACCATCTGCTCTGCACCGCGCCAGGCGGAGCGACTCCCAGCGGGGCCTCCCTGCGTCGTCGGGGTAAAAAAAGGTGGAATGGGAAAGCGCTTATATGAAGGAGCCCTGGGACACACAAATAAATACACACAAATAAAAGGATTCCCCATCTTTTCCTATATTTTCTGGGTTTTTGTCTTCCCCCCCACTTCCCATATTTTCCCATATTCTCTGGGGAATCGACGATTAATTGTGTCTGTGTGTTTTTTCTCCTCCTGATTATACTCTGCTCGACTGGAGCCTCTTCCGAGGCCGTCCGTGAAGGCATCTCGACGCCTTCCACCATGACTCTGAACAGGTCCAAACCGATGTCCATCGGAAACTTGCCTGGGAGGTCCAGGATGTCAGCGAAAGCACAAGCGAAGCTGGCATGCACTGGCACGTGATATCTGGGTGGACGAGACGCGATGGCCTGCAGCGATCTGCCTAGCTTAGGTAGTGGGCCCACCGATCTCACCATGCGAATAGAACAGCGAGGCGCGATAATGAAGTCAAGCTGTGAGCCCTTGTCCTGGCTGTTGACATAGAGTGGGCCTCCCCCTTTGAAACTGCTGATGACCTCCAGGTCGAACAACGAAATAAACAAGAAGAGAGCGCAAACCGCCGGATATCTGTGTCTGACCATGTCGTGTTGGTTGCCGAGTAATGGTGGAGCTATGGGTCTCCATTGCTCGGTACCCCCAAAGCCTGAAGTCCAAACCTGTATATTGGAAAACATATGTGCGCACCCTAGAAGGGACATGAAGTCAACCAGTTGGCAAGTGAAGCACGCGTCTGACAATAGATGTTGCCTCGCTGCCTTGCTGGGCAGAGGAAGATACAGTCGGCCCGTATCACAAGTATGCACGATAAGGATGTAAGGGCCTCGGAGAGCTGCTTCGAAGTTTCTCGAGCGGGGCGCGGCCAACGAAAGTGGTCAAGGATGGCCAAGGATGGCCGAGGAGGCAAGGATGCAAGGGTACCGTTGGGAAGGCTGCCCATCCTTGCTATGCAAGTTGACTGTACTTCACAAACGCCATGCCAATATCATAAAGTTTGGGTCGAACTCTAGCCGGAATGCCTCGTCCAGCTGCAGGCGCCACCCCACTCTAAACCACAGTTGGTCTCTCGCTCCTTGGTCCGCACGTGCTGAACACATTCGCGCGATTTGTCGCTGGGCGCCGATCTGGGCCGTCCTGCCTCAAGACGCCATCCACCGCCACCTTTTCTTATGTTGCATCCTCGGGGGACCTTGTCTGTCCCGTCGCGGCCCTGTCCGCGTCGAATCCGTGTCGAATCCATGTCGGACGCGTCGGATCCGTGTCGAATCCGTGTCGAATCCGCGTCGAATCCACGCCAAATCCGCGTCGAGTCCGCATCGAGCACGCGTCGGGCCCCCAAAAAGACACCAATTTTTGGGACAGGCGAGGTCCCCCGCAGATGCAACAGAACTTTTCGCCACGCATCAGCTCCAGTTCCTCCATGTAGTCGAGATGCTGTGCCGCGGAGGCGCACGAATTCAGCGCTGTGGATGGCCTCCGCGAATAACTTCCTCGAGGCGGCTGGCCGCGCTCGCATGCGTAGCACTCCTTCGAAGTGCGCAAGTGTTGTGCACGTTCCCCAGTTAGAGGGCAAAAAAATCCACCCCCGGGATAACCACCCCGACACGCGAAGCCGTTTACGACAGGCCCCCACTGAAGGAATCGAACAGGGCGGGGCTGTCTTAGTAAACGCCCAAGGCCGCTTCATAAACGCCAATTGTCCGGTCCGGGTAGTTTTTCCTCCCTTGACCAATTACAGCGTCGCCGAAGACTCAATGCGGATGGCCGAAGCCGCAGTGTCTCTAAGTGCCCCCTCCAGTCTGAAGCAAGGAGGACCAAGAGAGAAACGCCGCACAAGCTTCATCAGCGCCGAAGGTGTAGCAGGGAGGGCCACGTTCGGTACGGTATCGGACTGCGCGGCCCTGGAGAGCCAGCGCGTAGAGGGAGGAGGAGGAGGAGGAGGAGGAGGAGGAGGAGGAGGAGGAGGAGCAGGAGGAGGAGGAGGAGGAGGAGGAGGAGGAGGAGGAGGGGGAGAAGGAGGAGGAGCAGGAGGAGGAGGGGAGGAGGAGCAGGAGGAGCAGGAGGAGGAGGAGGGCGGAAGAGGATCAAGGCAGACGAGAAGCCCCGCGGGGACCAGCCACAGACAGTCGAGGGGGAACTCCCGCAGTCAACCAACCACCGTCCAAGCTCCATGAAGGGGCCCCAGGACACACAAATAAATACACACAAATCAAATGATGCCCCATATTTCCTTATATTTTCTGCATGTTTGTCTTCCCCCCCCAATTCCCATGTCTTCCCATATTTTCTGGGGAATGGAGGATTAATTGTGTCTGTGTGTTTCTTTCCCTCCTGACTCTACCCTGAACCAAAGGGGGAGTGCCGAGCCCCACCCCAGACCACCCCGACCAGATCAGCCCGCCGCCCGCGGCCAACAGAAGAAGAAGCCACGGCATGAACAGAAACCTTTGGCGCTCCGCGCAGATTTCTTGGATCTGCGCTGGACCCCCCTCCCTGGAGCGCGGAGCGCGCCAGGGTGGCGCCCGAGGCGCCGCTGGGGTGGCCCGGCGCGGATCCAAGAAATCCGCGCGGAGCGCCAAAAGTTTATGTCGATGGTGTTTCTCTTCTTCGAGCCAACCCACCAACCACATGGAGGGACGCCAAACCGCGAACCGTCGAAGCTGGTCCCCGCCCGACCATCATTCCACGGACCAGCCCGTGGTGCACCCCGACCCAGTGTGTGTGTGTGTGTGTATGTGTGTGTGTGGTGTGTGTGTGTGCAGAGACCCCCTTCTGGCGTCGCCCGTGAGGACCACCCACAGGACGACGAGGACGCCGGCGGACACCATCTTGTTGTACTTCGGCCCGCCAAGCTCGCCGCCAAGGTGCCTCGGACTCCTCCTGTTCCTGCTTCCTGCTTCTTCCTTCCCCTCCCTCCTCTTCCCTGTCCTCGCCTTCGACGCCCACGGAGCCTCCGGCGGTAGTAGAGCATGCCCATGGCCACGAGTGCGCAGCAAGTGAAGACGGCAACGCTGGGGACGAGCGCGCCCTTCCTGACAACGAACGCACCTTCACGGAAACGCGATTGGATCGGGACCAAAGATTCTACACCCAAAGGTGGTGCGTATTTGCTCAGCCATTTCGCATCGGGCTCGGAATAAGACCAGTAAAGCGAACCCATCGTCCATGGCAGGCCCAATCCAAGAAAGACATTGACAGAGTTGCTGCCCGTAACGTTGCCAACCGATGCGTCTGCGGTGGGATCTTGCACGGCTGCCGTTCTTGACGCGAAAGTGTCGGGCAAGGAGGTGCCGAGCGCCACAAATGTGATCGCGGTGACCTCGTCTGGGAGGCCAAGAACGCAGCCAAGGAGTGCGGCCATGTCGCCGATGATGGCGGTGACGAGCGCGATCATCAGCAAGGAGCACATGAAACTGAGCCTAGGGAGCCACCCATCCCAGCACACACTGAAGGGGCCCTGGGACACACAAATAAGTAGACACAAATAACAGGATTCCCTATATTTTCCCGTATTTTCTGGGTTTTCGTCTTCCCCCCCACTTCCCATATTTTCTTATATTTTCAGGGGAATCGACGATTCATTGTGTCTGTGTGTTTTTACCCCTCCTCACACACGGCGTACTTCCGAAAGCGCCTTTTGCAAGGGCTCGGAAGCCCCCAAGAGGTCCCCAGGCCAGGTCCCCACGAGGCCTCCAAGAGGCCCCCAGGATGCCCCCAAGATGTCTCCAAGAGGCCCCTCAAAGACAACCCAAGAGACCCCAAGAGATCCTAAGAAGCCTCTAAGAAGCCTTCTGTGCACGACCCAGGCACGGTGGCAGGACGGACCGAATGCAACTAGATCCGCCGACCCCTGTTGCTTACAAAATGGTGCTTGGCCTGCCGAAATCCCACCAGCCCTCTGGGCGTAGGTGGTCCAGGGCAGCTTCTCTTCCAACCCCCGTCCTCCCCTTCGGGGAGGGGTCTATCGCTGTTCCTTATTAATATGCACCCCCTCCCCCACGCGGCCGGCGGCCAACCCGGAACCATGCCGACTCCATGCGGGCCCGCTCCCCACCATTGCTGTCAAACAACAATGCAAGCCGCACTCTGCCTCCACATTTGGAGCATGCGCGGCCAACCTGATGCGCCCGCCCCCACCATCCCTGTCAAAAAACAATGCAGAATACACTTTGGGGCAAAATCTTGAGCTAAATTCGTGAGGCCCGCGAGTATTGTTTTGACCGGGGCGGCGGGGGGTTCAGCATATTCCCTGCTGTGCGCCAGGCTACCATCGCTGACAAAAAACAGTACAACACGCACCTCGCGGCTAAATCTGGATCATGCGCGGCCATCCCGCGTGGCGCGTGGACTGCTGTGCGGCAGGCCCGCCGAAGACACAACGCTGGGAATTGGCTTTCGGCCAGCGATGGCTGGGGCCGACCCGGGCCTCCGATGGCGTGCCTGTCACGTGCGCGGCGCACCTGACGCACCCGCACTGCCCGAGCGGGCGCACACGGCGCGGAGGAGGAGGGGGAGGGGGAGGAGGGAGGGGGGGGAGGAGGAGGAGGAGGAGGAGGAGGAGGAGGGAGGGGGGAGGAGTAGGAGGATGAGGAGGAGGAGGAGGAGGAGGGAGGAGGAGCAGGAGGAGGAGGTTCAAAGTGGCACACCCGGTGCACCCGGGGCACGTGGCGCACCCGGCGCACCAGGCGTGCCCGACACGCTCGGGCCCAGGGGTGCCTAGGCGCGCGCGGCGCCCCTGGCGCGCGCGGCGCCCCCGGCCCGAGCGTGGCGCGCCCGGGGTCGGCTTTGGTTCCCAGCAGCTGCCCATGCAAAGACGACCGCTGAACATGCTCAGGCTCGGGTGTTACTGCAGGGGCCCCAGGGACACACAAAGAAATACACACAAGTAAAAAAAGGCTTCCCCATATTTCCCTATATTTTCTGGGTTTTCGTCTCCCCCCCCACTTCCCATATTTTCCCATATTTTCAGGGGAATCGACGATTCATTGTGTCTGTGTGTTTTTACCCCTTCTGAGTTACTTCTGTGTTGTGAGGGCGGGTGGGAGTGAGCTAGACGGCTTGCGGGCGGGTGGGTACCTTGACCCCTCCCCATTACCCCCTCCCCTGGCCCTGGACGGGGCCGGCCGCGAGGTGTCAGCGGGTACTTGTTTGCCCAAGAAGGCTCCAAGAGCGCCTCGGAGAGCCCAGGATGATCTCCAAGCTGACCCCAACCAGCCCAAATCGCCCCAACCAGCCCAAATCGCCTGAAGATGGTCCCCACAATGCTCCAAGAGGCCCCAAGGCCGCCCCAAGACGGCTCCAAGAGGCCTCCGAGACCCCTACAGAAGCATCCAAGAAGCCAACAACCGTCAACAAACTAAGGAACATTCATGATTGTTGCATCGTCGCCCGTTCGCTGTCGATAGCCTTCCGAAGCCTCAAGATGCCTCCAAGATGGCCCAAGCGAGCCCCAAGAGAGGCCCGAGAGAGCCCGAAGACGGCCCCCAAGTGCCAGAGAGCGCTCCAAGACCGCCCCGAGAGCGCCCCACGACACGATTTTTGGGGCTCCCCAGGAGGGGGGAGCGGGGGGGGGGGGGGG